ATGGCAATGCTAAGTCTATGGGTAATGCTAAGTCTATGGCAATGATAAGTCTATGGGTAATTCTAAATCTATGAGTAATGCTAATCCTATGGAGTTAATTCTGATCTATGGACGATGATAAATCTATGTGACTAGTGCTTTATAGTAGATTTCTATGAGATAACCGAGTAAATATCAGCAATAAATAGAACTAATTGTTGTCAAAAACATTCAAAAATCTCAAAATAATAATAGTGAAAGTATTTCAACAATAGTATTGACAAATTAAAAATCTTTAATGCATTTCCCGAATTGTGGTTAACGTATAGCATCGTTGTGTGATCCTTGTTTTATAATTCAAACATATCTTTTAATAAAAATCCTTACTAGATCAAATAAACTAAATTAGATGAAGTACAAATGACAAATTTTAGAGTATGCATTTATAAGAAAATCTAAATATTTTTAATGAATACCACCAGGAAAACTGGATAGATCGTGAATTATTTGTGTGTTCTATCATAATTTGTGCATAATACAAAATTTATACTCTTCTTTATACCAAAATATCAAAAATATTGGTAATTTTATTACCAAATATAATTACATTTTTTCGAGTTATTACCACATATATTACATATTTTTGGGCTTATTACTACATATATGTTCACTCTTAAGTTATAACCCTATATTTTTATTTAAATAGTCAAGGATAATAACTACATACTGTAAGTAATTTTGAATTCAATCAATACAAACAGCAAAATTAACAATACAGCGCATACCAAAATCAGACAAATTTTGTTTACATTCCACTTATACTAGTAGCACTGATATCGTGGGCGTTTTTGAAAAGTGCCTTCATTTTTCAACAGATATGCAAATGAAGTTGCGATTAATCCAGAATCTACTCAAATGTTTGGTTGACCGATAGCTGGAATTTTTCAGCACTGACTTTAAAACCTAATTTTAGTAGTAATATATTAATACTCTTCCCGGGGATTGAAATATCCCATGAATACAACTACAACGTTAATAAAAACATATCTGTACATAATATACATTATGTGCAATAAATTTGTCTTTTATTTTTTTATTCTTCGTTGTATACTTTATTCATAACAATTAAATGATATGATTAATTATCGTTTGTTTAAAAAGTTGCGTTAAATGCGTTAAATATAGCGCAACAACAAGTATGTTAGGTTAAATTACTTGATATTTAAATCACGTTCAAAAAATGTACTGCAAAATGACGCCAATATTTGACAGAATAATGTTCACATTTTTACACATCAATAGTAAGAAATGAACCAAAATGTGTAAAAGTATTATATACAATTGATATGCTAAATTTACTGTGTAAAATAAATCACACGTACTTATTACAAAATATGATTATGGCCAAAATTTTAAAAATGATTAATTTATTCTAAACTTTATCCATTTAAATTTAAATATTATAGTCAACCCATTGACAGTCCACAAAAGATCTGTCATACTCCGTGTTTAAACTTTATTTTCAATGTAAGCGTTTAATTATAGGTGGTATTAAATTGATTGTGACATAAATATATAATTATTGTATATTTAGACCAATACTTTCAATATTAACAAATAATTATTTTTAATTTGAAAAATGCGTTAAATATATAAGAAAAGTATGTTGACACATTAATTAAACCAATTGCACGCAAAATTGTAACAACAATCCAATAGATTGCTTCACATTTCATATTATTACCTTAATAACACTCTTATAATAATATTAATTTTAAATATTATTAAGAATACACATGATCAAATTCTATATAATAGTCTCATTTCTATCAAATCATGACTAAAAATAGCTTTATTTATACACAAGGAATTATAATTCTATGGTGCTATTTTCTTAACTTCTAAACTTCTATTGAAATTTATTAAGAAGAGAACTTTTTCCCCTGTCCCCGTCATCGTCGACAAATTTTACATGTATGTTTATATAAAAAGTTTATGTAGAATTCATCGATGAGTTCGAATCTGAAATTTAAAATGTTCTATCTCAAATATATTTCGAGTTATTCGACATAGAAGTTTTTAAATCAAAAATTGTTAAATCGCTGAATCTATTAATATGATATATGCCTTCGATGTAGTATTTAACGCTTACTTTTAATCAGAAATTTAAAATCGCCTAGTTTAAATATGTTTAAAGTTATTCATATTTTAACATTTTAAAGTCGAATAGTTCGAAAACTACAGATTAAATTTTAAAACCAATCTGATTATATTAACCAGCGCTAAATTCTACATCCAAGGGATATATAATATTAATATATTTAGCGATTTTAAAATTGATATAAAAACTTCTATATCGAATAACTCGAAATATATTTAAAATAGAACATTTTAAATTCCAAATTCAAACTCATCAATGAATTTAACATATAAAAAACTGTAGACTCAATATATAAAATATACATGGAAAATTTATCAACGGGGACTGACGGGACAGGAGAACAAGTGCTTTTCCTCTATTAAACATATTAACAAAAATTAATTAATCAAGAATTTCTCCCTTCACAAGATTTCTATAATATTTTCGATCAACTTTTAGTGTACTTGTTTTCACGATATGGTCTACGAATACTACACCACCGGTCAATTGTTTAGTACGAGCCAGAGAGTCTAAGTGAAAAATAAAATAATTTTACATAATCAAAGGTAATCATAAACAATATCAATTTAATCTTTACCATAAACAAATTTTATAATCTCAGCACCAGTAACACTGTGTCCAAATTCCAGCACAGTATATGCTCGGGGGCGATGAATGCCTACCTTGTTATTAACGCCCACAACAGCCACTTCAGCAATGGACGGGTGGGTCTGGAGATACTGTTCAATCTCTACGGGAGATATTTTGATATAGTACTGATCCACTTCTATACGCATCAATTCTTTCAGACGATCCGTAATGAATATACACTCCTTGTCGTTGTAATGCCCGATATCACCCGTCCGATACCAGCCCTTATTATCCACAACCTCAGCCCATGCTTTAGCGTTGTTTCTATAACCGGTGATCATTTTGGCACCATGGATACATATTTCACCATCAATGTTCGGACCTAGACTATTGCCCGTGGAAAGATCTATCACTTTTAACTCGGTTCCTGGTGTAATATGCCCGCAATTTCCCGGTTCATAATCTGTTGTACTCATTTTATAGCTGACCCGACAATATTCAGTCATAGCATAAGCTTGATAGGATAGAATATATTATTAATTATGTAGTTATAATTAATTAATAAAACTAATTAAAATTATTTAATTAAAAATTATAATTTGAATATATAACTAAACGCGTTTTAAATGATAAAATATATGGTAAAAACGTACATTCTCTAAACATCAAGCCGTACTTTTTAATGAACTCTCGGGCAGTGTCGGCCGGAAAAGCAGCTCCACCGGTAGACAGCACTTTTAGACTAGACATATTGTACTGATCTAACAGACCATGGTCAACCATTTGTTTGCACACAGTGGGAGATATACTTAAACAATTAATGCGATATTTCTGAATTGAATGTGCGATAAATTCATCATTGCAATCAGAAAACATGACCATGGTGCAGCCCAAACACAATTTCGTAAATAAAGCAAATGTGCCCGATATGTGTCCCAATGGTAACAAGAACGAACTGACCATACTTGACGCACTTGTATTGTCTATATCTACATCATTTAAAAACATCCTGTGTGGCACCTGAGCGCATTTCGGCGCACCCGTCGTGCCTGATGTGTGTATTAAAAACAGGGTTTCGTCTCTTGATTTTACGTCATAGTGGGGAACTTTAGCCAAATTTCTGCCTATAAATTTACTTTCTTTAAAAAGTCTATCGTAAGTCAAATATTTGCCGTGTTTGCCGTCAAATACCAATACTAATTTAATCTTATCATTATAATTACTATTTAATAATTTGCTAAATTTAGCAAGATCGTTGACCGAACATATGACAATGTCGGCACCGACAGACTTGACCTTTTCGATCACTTCGTACTGGCCAAATGTTGGACTGAGTGGCATAAATGTCACACCCAATAATTGTACGGCAACTCTAAGTATTGCGTGTTGTATAGAGTTTGGGCCGTAAAATGCTATTAACGATGACTGGTTGACCCCCCGGTCCAGTAGTGCCACCGCTATATCTGTGGCCGTCTGTTTAAACTCACCTATCGTTATGGAAAGTTCCGTTACTGCATCGATCTTGATGTAATTTAATTAGTACAATAAACGTATATAATTAATAATAAGTTACATGTATAAAAATGTATATAAAATACACAATATAATTAATGTTTAAAATTACCATGCAGATTTTATCGTTGTTAATTTCTTCAAGTCGTTTCCAAATAAATTCACCAACACTATTATACCGAGTTTCCACAAGTGGTTCGCTACAACGTAGTATTATGTTCCTGTCCATTTTATTATTAGCTATATATAATACTACAATTGTTTGAGTTTTAATTAATTTATAAATGTTTTAACAATACTTAATGAATGAAAATTTTATTTTGTAACTTATATAACTAAGATTGTAATTATAATAATATAACCATTAAGTGAATTAATTGTCATATTGAAATTGCTAATATCATTCTAAAACAATATATTTTTATGAGAATATAAATAAGTAGAGCGATCAACTATTACAATTGCCATTTAAAAATTTAGTACAATATTTCTAACTCGTTAATAATGGTTATCAAATTGACGCATCTTGGGTTCCAATCGCCCATCTAGCTGGATGCCTATAGACGTTGTGTTTGACGAGGCCTTTAGTCTTGTTGCATGTCTTAGCACGTTGCATCCCGGCATGCGGTTAAATGATTTTGTCAGAGTTTTTGCAAAGTCCTTAATGTGGCATAGAGTCTCGAGCGGTAAAAACTGTAAGCGATTGCGACCTTTACGAGGCGAGTCCAAAGTCATCCGGATGGTGTCGATGAGTCGTCCATTACATTGATGAAAACAACAGTTATGCCAGACCTGTGTGTCTACGACGCGAAGCCATTAGAGGCGGTTGGTTATGTGCGGTTGACGCACATTTGGAAGAAAAAAGCGCTGGACCGTCGTTCGTCACGCAGAGCTTTATTTGATAAATTGTTTGCATGTCGGATACGGAAGGAAAGGAAAGAGAGAAAGATTGGGAGAAAAATAGAGCAATTAGTGGCGCGAACCAAATTAATTACAAATTTTTAATACTGTGATGTTATTTAATCGTTTATTGAAGTATTAAAAAAGTAATACATAGAATAGTGGACAATGAAGTCCAACAAAATGAACACGTACACAAGGTTAATAGTCTAGTTAGTGTATAATTAGTTAACATAAAATGCAATACAAAATCCAAGAGAACATATAATAAAGAGTATTTCATCAAATTTTCTATAAATATAAACAAGTTTCAATTTGCGCATTTCATTCATTGCCGATTCAGATGTCAACCGGTTAAGTGAACCAACGCGCTCTATTTATAATGTTTAATCCGTTTAGTTGGATAAGTGTGCATTTAAGTGAATTGGCTGAACTTCGTTTACGTGCTGATGTCACTAGTTCTCGTGTTGTAATAGAATACACTGCACTAAAAACTGTAAATTGTAAAAATTGTAAAATATAAAAATGTCTATGAATATTTCCTATAATGATTTTAATATTTCATTTTATAAAAATATGTTTGTTCATTTTAGAATGTTTGATTACAAGTGTTGTTATCATTATAAATATTTTACTAATCAATTACTATACACTTTCTAACAGAGTTATCATGTAAAACATTGTTAGATATTACTAATAAACAATTTTATCAAAATCTTAATTCCATTATGTTGTATTTATTGAAAGATGCAACATGTGACGAAAAGTTTGACGCAACGATTCACTACAATTGTCATCCGTAATATTGGCACACAATGTCCTGAAAATGCGTCAAAGATTATGTCGCACTTGATTTACACAAAGCGATACGCTTTCACGACATTGAAATTGACAAGGTTAAGCATTACAACTATTTTGAATTTAAACAAGGATCACACAGCGATGCTATACGTTAACCACTATTCGGGAAATGCATCAAACATTTTAAATGTTTCAATACTATTGTTAGAATACTTTCACTATTATTATTTTGAGAATTTTAAATATTTTTGACAACAATTAGTTTTATGTATTCTGGCAGATTCATTTAGTATATCTATATAGAAAAAGCATTATTCCATTGAAATAACATTACTCCAATAGACTTAGCATTACCCATGTTATCCCTATGTCATAGACTTAGCATTGCTCATGTTATTCCTATGTCATAGACTTATCATTGTTCATAGACTGAGAATTGCCTATGTTATTCCTATGTCATAGACTTATCATTATCCATAGACTTAGCATTGCCCATGTTTATCCTATGTCATAGACTTAATCTGTAATTCCATAGAAACCCATGTTAAAGCAATCTCCCATAGACTTAACATTAGTCCCATAGGATTAACATGGAGAAAAACTACCTTTTCCCTTCATATTTCGCTTTTCCATAGGAAATAGTTCTCCCATAGAATTAACATTACCCATAGGATAACATTAGCCTATGTTAAGTCTATGGGAAAAGCTCCATAGGATTAGCATTACCCATGTTAAGTCTATGTCATAGGATTAACATG